CTGTCTGCGCGCAATCTGGTTTAGCCAACTACGCTAGAGAAGCCGGGTCTTTCTTCATTTTATAAAAGGAATTTTTGCCCTGTTCTATTGTGTTCGTTATCTTAAATTGAGATATAAGGTGTAATTTTTTGGGGTATATTTTCCGGAGGAAATATAGTGTCCATCGTATTTACAAAGTATTCTTTCTGTTGACTTATGTATCGTATGATTCTAGAGCTGTCGTGGTATAGCAGATAATCTATACGTTCCAATGAGAGCGCGAATGTCATAGGTTCACATTCGCCCTGAGCCAGATCCCCCTCCCCTCACCGAAATTACCTTGGCTCCAAGGTCGACATAACCAAAAATGGTTATCAGTAAAGTCATGGGAAGTAAAGGCGGCTAGCGATTGGTCTATAAAACATAGGTCTAGCACTATATGCCTAATTATTTTTACCGAGAAGACTAACCCGGTCAACAAATGCCCGCAGAGGTCAGATGTTTTGGCCGAAAGGTGCAAATATCGCAGCCATGCTGTAAACGGACACAAAGCAATTACATCTTCGGATGAACGCAGAAGAAGAAGAATATGCCCAATACACACGAGGGAGTGGAAAATGGTTCTTCTTTACTTTTATCGTATGATCTAGGCATATGGTCATCATATAGTGCCATGCACACGTCACGCAGTTGGCATTATATCGCCCCTTTACTTTCTATCGAGTGCAACAATCTGGATGGAATCCACCCAGCACCTTTGACCTCTCATCTTAAGGTAGATCATCATTATGTACCCTGCCGACAAAAGCCATCTTATACGATCACCAGAACCACAGATCCGGTGAGAATTCTGGTCCTGTTCCTCCATATGGATAAGCCGTCCTTATATTTATCCATTTGCCTCCTACTCCCCCCCCCCCAATTTCTTCTCACATGTCCGAAAAATACCGGCAGTCTACGCATAACTTCTCTAATCAATGTACTGTTTTTCCTCTGTTTAAAAAGTCAAGCAAGATTTTTAGGAAATGAACAGGCAGGTAGACTGGCTGCTTCTGCTCCACTAGGTGGTAAACTGATTGATGACAAGCAAGATATGGTCAAGGCTCTTTGGGAGCAGGTGGACAATGCCCAGGTACGAACAGATAGATTTGTAAGGTCTGGAGAGAATGCTTTAGCTAGAAACGACCAGGGCGTGTGGTCGACAGGCTACACTCAGAGGAAAGGCATGGCGGGTATATAATCAAATTACAACTGGTACCATCCAAATTGAAAGTCTACACTGTCTGATGAAGATCAGGAGAAGCACTTATGGGAATGTCCCAAGTATTATGATTTCAGTTTTTAGCTCAACAGATGACTCAGGGATGACTGCCACGTTTCTTCTTCTTCTTCTTCTTCTTTAGCATTCTGAACCCTTGAGGTTCATTGCTGCAGATATCACCGGCCTCAACTTATCTCTCTGGTTGGCCTTCTCTTTCCAGTTGGTAACACCAAGTGAATGCAAGTCTCTCTTGACATTATCTCTCCATCGTCTTCTTGGTCTGCTTCGTGGTTTACGACAATTCATCCCCCTTGTGTATACAGTTTCAAACTCTGTCATTTGACATTTTCTCAGTATGACCCAGCCATTTCAACCTATTAGCTCTCATGATGCCAATAATCAGTCTTGATATAATTATAATGGTATAAGACTCCCTCGTTTGTTTTACCGTAATTCTGTGATACTTTTAAAATGTTTATGAAAAACAGCATCTACACTGAAGATCATTTTTTTTTTAGAATGTCTGCTAATTGTATACAACGTGATTGCTTCGAGTTACGTCAGTCAAGTGATTTTTATATATTCATGTGGTTTTGTTGGATTTATGTAACGTGCTGATGAAGGCTCTGTAGCCGCAACGTTTACTTTCCGTTTGTGATATACATACTGTGAAGCTCGCTGATCTACCTTTCGTTCGGTTTTGATATCTGTAAAAACTTGAACAATAAAGAAAGCAACTAGAAAATCGAATCGAGTCTCTAGAAATGTGAATATACAAAAGAATAGAGGAGCAGCTGGCCGAACGGTTATAACGCTGGGCTCTCATGCGGTAGACCCGGGTTCGAATCCTCGATAAGGCTGGGGATTTTTTTCTGTCAGGGGCAAATTATATTCCTTTCCTGCGCAGTCGTGGCGACAGCACTAGCCAGGCTCATAAAACCGCACCCCCACCACCCCACAGAAGTGATATATAAATGTAGTAAATGGCAGTTGTATTTCAAGGAAACAAAAACGGTTCACTATAAAGGTTATGGAAAGACTGTGAATGCAAAGAGAATTATTGGAAGAAAAAAAAAAAGAACTGAAATACTTTGGCAACATAAAAGACATAACACACTTTTTAAAATCCTACTGGAGGGAAAGGTCGAGGACAAGACAAGAGGTAGACAACGTTACCAGTGGAATGCCATCTTCAAGAGATGAACGAATAGCAGTCTGAGAGAGAGAGAGAGTGTACAACCAAGAAAAGAGACAGAGCATGTTGGAGATCTATTGTAGCCAATCGTGACATCCGACAGAAGATATATGGATACGGCCGTGCAGCCAACATATAAAGTGGAAACAGCACCTGTTTGATTGATTGACTGATTGATATTTTTTAATTATACAGTAGACAGCAGTGAGAAATCGTTGGCCGCATATTTTCGTTTGCCTGTTCGTAAATTGCGATTTGTAATAAAGTTGTTATTGTACAATTTCCACCTAGCATTTATTATATCCTGCCTAAAAATGAACAAAATCTAAGAAAACAAAAACTGTTTATGCCGGACAATGAATGTATATTATTTTAAGAGAATATAAATATTGTAAAAGTATTATTACAGGAATTGGCGTAGTTAGTCCAGTGATGGGCGAAAAATCAATGGCGCAATCCTGTGGAAAACGTTTCACCTAATAAATATTATATGATGAACCAGTAACTGTGAACACCCAGTGATGGCTCTGCATAAGTTAATCACGACATGCAGAGATTCGTTTTGAAAACAATAAGAAATGTAACAGATTTGCATAAATTTAATGGTAAAAGCCGACATTTGTTGCATCATAATTAATTTAATTATTAGTGTAGTAACTATATATAATTTAGTAGTAACTAGTACTAGTATATCACTAAAAGTAAATTCATATGCTTTCTCTTCTAGTATGCTAAAAATAGTAATATAGTCTTTAACGTGAATTTAGTAACTTACTACAACTGCTGCTTAGGTGCTTAGCTAGCTTATCTTCTTCTTCTTCGCGTTCACCAGCTGTACTGTAAATTCTGGCGGAATGTTCTGGTTGTTTATCCACTGCTGGACTGCAGTCCTGTTCCAGAACCTGAGTGTTGCGTGTGCATCCGTTTTACAGATCTGACTCATTTGTATGCAGACTGTTGGTTCCTTGCCTCTCAGGCAGATGCACTCTGACTTCTAAGGAAGCTCCCAATTAGTCGACTCTTACGACATGCTTTTGGGTAGGCAGTGGGTCTATTCTTGTTTTCCCTATAATAGGGCTCCGGAACCCACACGGGGGATAGCTGGCTTATGATATATTATGTATTAACGAGTCACTAACTATTTTTTTTTAAATCCTGTAATTCAGTAAATATAAACCGAAGAAGTCAGTGACCTAGTGTCTCTGTGTAAGTGTTTGGTTGATGAAATTTTGCAGATTTTTCAGACATTGGCAAGAAAACAAAAAAGTTGGATGTCAAGACATGAAGCAGTAGTTTATTATAGGTTTTTATTCAAGTCTCTACTTTACTAAAAACTTGTTACAATTTTTCTGTGAATTATTTTGTTCAAGAGGCACCACTGAGACTTTGACGTACTTAACTCAAAATGTAATCTCTCGAGTGCATTGAGTCATGACTCTGAAGCCATTTAGTCACATGCCAAATTTGGGTTATTTTATCTGGTTTGATGGCAGTGTAAAATTAAAGAAGTGTTATTAATGTAACAAAAAACATGGGTGCGAGGCACTTTTGACATTGTTAGAAACATTTATGAAATAACTATCGGCTATCCTCTGAATAACGGTCCCAAATTATCGAGGCTAAGAAAATACCCTAACAGGGCCTCAGTCATATGTAAATTGCGGACCTCTTACCGCCACCACCGAGAGTATCCCCACGAGTGGCGCAGAGGGGGGCTAAACTATATGGCTGGGACTCACGAGCAAATAAAATGGATTAAGCTGCAGGAAATGCGTTTGCTGCTGCTCGTGAGTCCCAGCCATCTAGTTTAGCCCTACCTCTGTGCCGCGCCTAGCGGTGCCGGGGAAACTCTCGGCAGTGACTTTAACTCGGCGGAAGCTTTTATGCGGTATAGTCGCCGGAAAGAGATCCGCAATTTACATATGACTGAGGCCCTGTTAGGGTACTTTCTTAGCCTCGATATTTGGGACCGTTATTCAGAGGATAGCCTAACTACTCTTTTGATCTATTAATTACTTCTCGCTGCATGTTAAAATACACATGTGTAAAATGGGGAAAATCACCTATTATAATACAAAGAATATTCTGCATACGTGTCCATACAATCGTAACTATGATCTATATTACTATATACCACATTAAAATATGGCTTAAGATATTAGTCACGTGGTCACAGTAAATTGAAAAAAAAAATTTGTGAAAATTAGAACTTTCTGCTGAAGTTTACAGCTGGCGAATGCTAAGACGAGGAGTGGCTGGCCGATTGGTTAAAAACTCAACTTTCATGCAGGAGACCCAAGTTCAAATCCTCATTAAGGTTGTGGAATTTGTTTGTCTCAAGGCAAAAATAAGATTGTAACCTGCAGTCTGTGGCAGCAGCACTAGCCAAGCTTAAACCTACACCATAAAAAAATCATACTAACTTTGCTTTATAACACAGACTTTTAAAAGTCTAATTGTTTTGTCAGCAGGATTGAGCACTGTTGATCAGCTGTAGAAATGATAACCGGAACAAGTACACATTTAGAAACCTGAAGTGTGGTAGAGACAAGTTACTCTTTTGCAATGAGTGATCAAGAAAGAAAGGCGCGTCAGGCACGCATTATGCCATACTTGCCTTCTTTGAGGTATTTTTATTTTTTCAAGTTATCGCTAATTTTTTAACCTGTATTCATGTTAACTGTTGAGCTTAGAACTGACATCACATCACTCAGGACATTCCCATAAGTGCTCTGTCCTCATCTTCAGCAGCCAGCAAAGAGTTCAGTTTTGCTAGAGCTAGTAGCATTATAACTTATTTCTTAACATAGCAAAAACAAAGATAATGCATACAAACAAAACTGCCATGGAGAAGGAAATATATGTTAATGAGGAAAGATTGAAAGTGGTGGAAAATTTCGAATATCTTGGGTCACTGGTTACCAACAATGGTGACACAATGAAAGAAATTAAACGGCGACTATCAATTGCTCTTCAAAGACTAAAACAACTGAATAAATTATGGAATTGTACAGATAGAATTACAAAGGTCAGATTTTTAAGAGCATGCATCTTTCCCATTGCAACATACGCCTGTGAGACCTGGACACTTACTAAACAAGCGGAACAGCGCATAAATGCATTTGAATATAAATGTTACAGACAGGTTCTAAGAATATCTTGGGTAAAGAAAAGAACAAATGCATCCATACTTCAAGAGCTGAATATTGAAGAGGGTTGGCTAGTAAAGACAATAAAACAAAGAAAATTGAAATATTTTGGTCACTTGAAACGTCATGGAAGTCTAGAGAGAACAATAATGGAGTGGTATATGCCTGGGAAGAGAGGAAGAGGAAGGCCAAGGAGAAGATGGGTGCAGGATGTGGCAGATGATCTCCAGATGGGTGTATCAGACGCAGGACATCTTGCTCATGATAGGAAGGTTTTCCGGAGGGTTGTTATGGCAGCGAGGTTCCGCGAGGGACATGCTACTGAATGAATGAGTAGCATTATATGTCAGTCTTGCCTTTCCTCTGAGCGTAGAGTCAGTCTGACCCTCTAACCACTGTTAGAAGTACCATTCTCTCCACATCATAATGATCTGTGCATGCCTCTGCATCATTAACTCTTTGAGTCCCAAGGAAAGCATCATACGTTCATAGGTTCATACCTAGAAGCCCAATCAACGCATGATGCGCCAATTTTATGACTATTTACTACCCCCTGGGCCTGTGATGCTAAACTCCCTGGAACTCAAAGAGTTAACTTTCTGCCAAAGAGCCTTGACACATGTAAAAAAAAAAGTAAAGGACTCTTTTCCACACCTTTCAGGTGTATTGGGTATATAGGGCTAGACTTATGTTTTATAGACCAATGGCACAAGATGGGTGATGTGGTCAGCATCATGCCGGCCGCCTTTACTTCCCAGGACTGCAGCTGGTACCCACTCAAGGCTGGGTCTACACATGTATTTTTAAATTTTTTTTTTTAATTGGAAGATGTGAGGAGTGGCTGGCCAAGTTGTTAGGGCGCTATGCTCATGCAGGATACATGGATTCAGAACCTTAGTAAGATAATGGAAGTTTGTTTTTTGGCAAAAATTAACACCCTGATCTTCAGTTTGTGCACTAGCCGTACGGCTCTAGTTGCCTAGGCTTACGACCCCCTCCCTTGTTTTACACAATCCCCTTTCCTGAAGCCACCCAGCTCTAAATTCTCAGGCTAAAAATTACCTCCTGCCCTACTCTACCCATGAAAAATGGTATAATATTGGCAAAAACAATGGGAAGCAAACAGTCTGAGAAAATGAGGACCAAACACAAGAAACATAAGGAAAAACATTATAAGGTCAAGCTAAAAACGCTGGGTTTGAATTGCATGTTAGAAGTTGAGTGAGTTAGTTTCTACAGTGATACCCAGAGCTGGCTGTTCAGACGGCAGTGGCAAACTAATGAATGTAAAATTTGCCTTAAAAAAAAAACCACAACAGCCATTAAGGTCTGCTTCTGTGGCTTAGGCGTTGCGAGTATCCTTCGTAATTCCGGATGCCGGGTTCGATCCCAGCTGCGGACGATTTGGCAGCAGACCTTTTTGTATTGTTTTTTACCATGGTATCAAGAGTGGACCGTTCAGAAAGCAATCGCAAACTAACGAACATAAATTTGCGAATAAAAAACGCAACAGCCAAAAAAAAATGCTGGGGTTGGTTCTACAATGTCCTATAAAGGATATGCAATTACTTTTAATAGTACTCATGCTGTGATAAACTCAACCAGGTGTGATGCAAGTATATATTGGAACCTCTGTTTCATCAAAAGGCTACTTTAAAACATTAGTGGGAGGGGGGCATCTCAGAGGTTTCGAAAAGGCAGGAGACCTGAAAATAGAGCATCTGGCCACATTGAAGAATCAAAATAATGCACAAAGTGAGGAAGGAGTTGACATTTGAGCTAGACAAAATGCAGAGAGGAGTACTTCAAAGGAAGCTCCCAGTTAGTTGACTCCTACAATATGCTTTTGTGTAGGTAGTGGGTCTCTTGTTTTCCCTATAATACGGCCCCAGAACCCACACAGGGAGATAAAATAATGACTCCAGTCAGTAAAGAACCATTTGCACATCATTTACACAAAAGACAATCTTCTACTATTGTGTTCGACATCAGACATGCTAATATTTAGTTCCATCTGGGCCACAGACAGGGTGGTTGCTGCCAGTCCCCCACAGCTACTCTTGTAGCGTGGCTCCATTGGAACAGATCCACAACCTTTGCCAGGATTAGTTAGGGTAGTTCTGCAGTAGTCTGTCTGTTCCACAATCACCGGCAGCAGATTCTTGTATGCCTGTATGCTGTAGGTATGCTCTAAGACTGCAGTGTCCTGACCAATGCCTAACAATTGATGGTTGTTCTTTCCTGTTCGGTTTGTTAATGCTGTCCCTCTCTGGTCTGTAGTCTCGATTCTGCCTTCTCCACTCTCCCAGAATGATGCCTTATGGCTGTTTTGATTTATTTGTAACTGTGTGGTGGTGGAGGTTGTGAAAAATTACTTTCAGCTCATCTGCTGTCTCATTTTCTGGAATACCACAGTGAGCTGGTATCTACTGCAGGACCAGTTCTGCTTCTGTGGATTGCAAGTCCGTGCTGGTCCTTAATCTGCAGTTAGTTTTGTTGTTGTTTTTATTGTTGTTGCTTGAAAGTGCTTGGAGAACAGACAATTAGTCACCTTGTATAACAATTTTGTGCCCTCTGTATTATTGAGTGATGGACTGCAGAAAAGAAGGCAGTTGTCTCAGCTCTGTAGTTTGTGCCATATGTCACCTGCTGTGAGAGAGTATTTTTCTACCCTGCTGCTAAAGTGTTAAAAGTATAAGTCATACATGGTTCGACTTTTGCCCTACACTGCCTTAAAAAGTGACAGATGCATGCAATAAAAACAGTGCATTGTACGTTTCAGATTTGCAGGTAAAAAATTTGAATTTTTTAAAAAATTTTTTGCATCTGAATTTACGTTTTTTTCAATATATTTCAGAAATAATGAAATGCCAGACATAACCAGTAAGGTAAGGGCAAAATTAATGTCTTGACAACTGTGTCCTGTTTACCATGGTTTGTGTGAGGTTAGTTAGTCCCTTGTTTTGCAAGCAGTTAAGCTTTTTCATCTGTCACTGTGCAAGTAACATCTGAAAGTTTTAGTTAACAATTTCAGAATGTAATGTGCACATAGAAAAGGCAAAAATTACAGTTTACGCATGCACGCACACACACACATTTATAAATATTGACATAAATCTATCATGAGTTTAACAAACAGTGGTCTGTGTGAACAAGAAATCCTCAGTGTTTGTTACATTCACATACAGAGTCTGCAAGCAGCGTATACCTATTTTAACAGTTGTAACATCTGTGTACTTGTGATGAAATTAGATAGAATTGGGGTGGTCATGTGTAAGATGGTGTTAACTCAAAAAGATGTTATTGCTCACATGAATACTTGTGGCTTTGTTCCCTAGAAAAATGGTGCTGGTACTCAACACAATGGGTCTAAAAAGGTGTTGGAAATCACCACAAAGTGTCTTTTACTGTAGTGCTAAAAAATGCCTTTATAAAAAAGGTGTTAATACTGCATACCATTCTGGACCACCAGAAGAAAAAGAAAAACCATGCTTGTATTGGTGTGGCTAAAAATACCACCACTGAAAGAGGACAATGCAAGGCTAGATAATGCAGTAGTGTATACCGATGGTTCTGTTCATCGGATTGAAAGATCTGGCTAGGGATTTTCAGCTGGAGTATAGGAAAAGATTGTGGCTGAACAAAATGGTGCTTTTTTTTTTTTTTACAGCTTCAAGCATGAGGATGGGCGATGGAAGCAGTCACTGCAGCTCTGAAGTAGATAGCATAAAATAGAGTAACCAAGGGGGTTATAGAGACTGATTCTCAGTCGGTACCGCGGAAGGTTCAGAATGGACAAATGTGGCATTGGTGGATATCAAGCGTCAGCGCGTCAACATTACAGGGACTCATGTGGATGTACTGTCCAAGATATGTAGGAGTGTGAGGAAATAAAAGAGTGGATTTTCTGACTACCAACGCGATAGCTACATGAACACTCTTACTGTCAGCCATACTCAGATTGAAAGACTTGAGAAAGTGCAAAATAAAGCAAATCGCATTATTCTGGGGTGCACTGAAGACACCTCTTGTGTACCAGTGAGGTACCTTCTTAACTTCCCTACCATTAACTACAGCATCAAGATCCGGATGGCTCGTGCGTACCTCAAAATAGGGCAGAGGATGACATCATGCGGGTTTGCAGCCTTACAGATATCCATCCAGGTGAGGAATGGATACCAGCGTCTAAAGCGCCCAATCTCACATTCTCCTATGTCATGACGCTCGATAGGAGTTTTCTGTAGCAGAATCCAGCTGCTGCTGAGGTATGCGCGCTTATCAGTGACAAGTCAGAAGAGACACATGCGGTGATCTTCACAGATGGGTCCATTATACGAGGACATAGAGTGCATGGGCATTTATAGCTCGCTCTTTAGGCAGAACAGTTCAAGAAGCCAGCCGTGCCTTCTCCATGACTACCAGCAGCATGACGATGGAGGTGATGGCGGTGACACAGGCTTTCATGTCGCTAGAATCACAGGACTATTCCTGTGTGTGTGTGTGTGCTGAGTGATTCTTTGAGCATGATCCCGCAGGTCGAGGCAGGCTGGTTACGTACACAGTGGTTTGAGTCATTGCAAAACTCTCCTGCATGTGCAGTTACCTTCATATTTGTCCCAGGGCATGCAGCAGTGTTGGTAATGAAAGAGCTGATAGATGGGCAGGTGCTGCATTAATTGAAGATGGCCGACCCATGGATCACGCAGACATTGTCATTGCCCTTAGAGAGATAGGACTTTCTGAGGATTTTGGAAACTTCGTGTCCACATCACTGCTAAGAATACGAGAATTGGTAGTTAAGATCGGCACAGCCAAGCATGAAAAGCACACCGGATGCACACAAAGTCTTGTCAACCAACATAGGGCTGGCACTGTTAACTGCGCGACGCCGACGAAGATGTTAAAAGGGGAATCTGAGTGCCTATGAATGTGCCTGGAGTGCTGTGAAGATAATTTAACTCATAACTGGACCAAGCAGACATTCTGAAGACCATTTATGAATGATTGATGATAGAAGGCACAAGGTTAGATGAAATAACATATGTAAGAATATGTGAATGAGGAATTACTTGCGAATCGGGTTAGGAGGGACATGTGAGAGGAAGAGACAAAGCGACAAGTTTATAATCAGTGTGCTATGAGAACAGTTAGCATCTACACCATAAGACATTTGCTGTGGGAAACGGAGCCCCTATGGGTGTGCCCAGTGTGCAGTGACATTGATTCCTAAATCAGTATATCATAAACACAGTCAGGAAAGATTTTGAAACAAAACTTCTACAGCCTTGGCCAGCATTGCCCATAGAGTAATTTTTTCATTATAATAAGTGTCTGGATGCTGATGGTAACGGTTGAGCAGCTCACTTAATTATAAAGGTCAAAAGTAACTTGTATTCACTTCATGATGTCTGTATAAATTATAAAATTTATACAAGATGTAACCCCGTATGGGTTCAGAGGCCCTATTGTGGAGGGGAAAAAAAAGAATAGACCAACTGCCTCCGTAACAAGCAAAGCACAAGAATAGATAAATTAGGGGATTTAGAAAAAAAAATTGAAGTACATCTGCTTTAGAGTCAAGGAACCAACAGTCTGCGTACAAATAAGCCAGAACTTTAAAATGGATATGAATGCAAAACACAAGTTGTGGACAAGACTAAAGTCCAGAAGTGGACGAACAACCAGAATTTTCCGTAGATTTTCAGCCTATGAATACGAAGAAGAAGCTACAAGACATTCTTTTGCTAAAATCTGTATAAATGTTTTGGCAGACTGTGTATATAAACCATTCATACACATACACATGCACATGCACACTATCAAATGTCACACAGACTACATACATTACATACAGAGGCAGGCGCGCACATCCAAAGGCCACCAATACCAACACAAAGGGAGAAAGAGGGAAAACAGAGAGTGAGAAAGATGTGCAGAAATCTTGTAGTCAGACTGAATCTTTGAATTGTAATGTGATGATTGTGTGTATTCAACAGCAACAGCTATTGCTTCTGATGCAGGACCTGAAAGATGAAGGCAATGATTTATTCAAAGAAGAAGACTATTTGAATGCCTGGAAGCACTACTGCTTTGCTTTGTTTGCAGCAAGGCAACTGGAACGTATCTTTTATTGCCATGTGGAGAAGGACTTTTTAGCAACCTTGTTCTGCAATGCTTCACTCTGTAGTCTCAGAACAGTGAGTAATATTGTATCTAAAAATAATTTGAATGATTTAATTTGTTGCCTTTGTTTTTACGGGAAAACAGATGTTTAGCAACTTTGGTCTGCATCACTTTGTAGTCAGTCTCCCAACAGTGAGTAATATTTAATATAAATGTAATTAAAATGTAATAAACACTCGTTATGATAAACATCAGAAGGAGGAGTTATTTACTTTTTTGGCCATGTTATGAGAAGAGGGAAACTGTAACATGTTGTGGCCACTGGAAGCATTTATCGAAAGACATAGAGGAAGACAATGTGAAAAGATTCTTGACAACCTTTTGTCATGGCATGGAGGGGTGTCAGCACATGAGTTGATGAAAGTTGTTGGAGATTATAGGTTCTGGAGAGGCATGATCGCCCAGTTTAGTCAGCAGGGCATTTAGTAATAATGTTGAGTTAAAATGTTATAGTGGTTTGTCTTTGTTCTCCTGATAAAAGATATTTTTAGTAACAAATTTTTTTAGAAACCCTGTTAAGGCTTTGTCTAAGTATTTCACCATTGTGCCTAGGTGGGCAGTGTGTGCAAAACATTAAGAAGGGATTAGTGGCACAGTGAGTAAACAGCGTACTCAGAGTTACATGGAACTAAAAAAAAACTTTAAATAACAGTCAATTTTATTAAAGAAATTTGCCTGTCAGTGTAAATCTTGAAAACTTTAAATATCTCTGCTCCAACTTATGTAACTATGGCAGCTGTACCAAAGAGATCAAAACAAAGCTGGATATGGCAACTGCGACGATGTCACATCTGAGTTTGAAATGGAAAAACAAAATCAGCATCGCAATTAAGGTCAGTATATACACTGGAAAGATCTGTGGAAGGAGGGATAGAGGAAGACAACGAGAGAAGATGCTTGACAGTCTTGTTGCATGGCATGGAGGTGTGTCGGCACACGAACTGATACATGCTGCAGGAGATTGCATTGACAGTCTTGTTGCATGGCATGGAGGTGTGTCGGCACACGAACTGATACATGCTGCAGGAGATTGCAGATTATGGAGAGGCATGATCGCCCACGCCAGTCGGCAAGGCACCTGATGATGATGATATACAAATCACTAGTATTATCTATTTTCTAATATGGCTGTGAGAGTTGGACTCTCACTGTGGAAATGGAAAGGAGGATTCAGGCTTTCGAATGTAAATGCAATAGACGCATTTTACGAATTAGTTGTTTAGAATACAAAACTAATAAATATGTCAGAGACAAAATATACATATTTGCAGGACATCAAGAGCCTCTCTTAGCAGTGGTGAAACGTCGCAAGCTAGCATGATTTGGGCACTGGGTGGACAAGATTCAATTGCAAACACTGTACTTCAAGGAACATTGGGGAGGTGGGGTGGTAGTCTTGTAGGGGGTATGCTAGTGCTTCCATCAGTACGCCCCCATGACCCTAACTGATCAAGGGTTATGTAATGTTATGTATAATCAGAGAGTGATGACTAGAAGAACTAACCCTTTTTTCCTATAATGTTGGCTTCTGTGGCTGAAAAGTTGTAAACACAGTTGTATGATTTTGATATACCCTGGTTTGAAAGTCAGCTGCAGGTTGTGTTGCTTGTCAATTTTTTTTTCCTACAACAGTATGAGTGCCGAACCCTTCAGAGGGTAATAGGAAACTACTGAATGTAAAATTTATTTCATAAAACTGTAAACGGCCAGCTTCTTCTTCTTGTTTACTGGCTGTAAACTCTGGCGGAAAGTTCTGGTTGTTCATGCATTTCTGGACTTTATTCTTGTTCAAGAACCTTACTTTTACATGCACAACTGTTTTACAGAGCTGGCTTATTTGTATGCCGATTGTTGGTTCCTCACCTGTCAGGAAGGTGCACTCTGACTTCAGAGGAAACATCCCTAATTAGTCAACTCTTGTGGCATGCTTGTTAGGGGTCAGTGGGTCTATAACCCCCCCCCCCACCCCTTTCCCCATTGAGACTCTGGAACCCACATGTAGAGACTGCCAACAGATTCTGGGTTTCTTGGTTTGCCAAGTCCTGTAAAGAATATGTAACTAACTTGCTATAATGCCCCATTTTATAGTATTTGGCTAAAATAAATAAAAATTTGCCCATGTCTTACTGTATGCAGACTGTTGGCTCCTTGCCTCTAAGGCAGATGCACTCTGACTTTGAGGAAAAGACACCTGATTAGTTGCTTTTTATGACATACTTCTGCTGAGGGCAGTGGGTATATCCTTTTCCCCCCTCAAAATGGGGCAGTGGAACCAGTACAGGCATGAGAATAATAACACTGTGCCATACCAGGCATGCTGTAAGAGGTCGACACTGGGTAGGATTAGGCTCAGGATCGGAAACTATGTCCCATTTTAAAAAAAAACATTTGGCTATCCTCCGAATAATGGTCCCAAATTATCGCAGCTAAAAAAAATACCCTAACTGGGCTGCAATCATATGTAAATTGCGGACTTATTTCCGGCGAATATACTGCATACCGTGGGAAACACTCCACCGAATAATGGTCCCAAAATCATTGATGGTGCTAGGCTTAACCTCTCTTCTGGGTCCTAGGTTTAGCTTCTCCCCTGGGTTCTAGGTTTAGCTTCTCCTCTGGGTCCTAGGTGTAGGTTTATAGCTAGGGAAAGGAGTATTGCAGTTACGACACCACCAACAGAATCTGTCACAACAGTGGAACCGCTACACTATCGATTGAAGGGTTATGGATGGCAGTTGCGATGTTACCAGGGCGACACTAGTCGCGCGTTGTTTACTAAATATTTAGCGCAGTTTCCTGGCGGCACAGTTACAAACATTGAAGCCCTGTTAGGGTATTTTTTTTTTAGCCTCGATAATAAACTGAAGTGGGAAGAAGATAGACAGACAATTGGTTATGTTTTATTGATTCTTTTCACTTTTATCTTACAGGAAAATTATGAAATTGCCTTGAAAGATGCTGATATGGGTAAGTTAAAGATAGACATTTAAGATATTTTTGTTTGTTAGGTCGAGTGATATTCTTTGCACTTAAATCCACTTGAGCATGAAAATAAAGGCAGACACACAAAAATCACGTTCAGAAGGCAGCTAGAGCGTGAAATTTAAAAAGATGGGGAGGACATGGGGTGAGCTGCATATAAAAGCAAAGGATAAGATAGATCACTTGGTGGGAACTGGTTTAGGGCCTATGCTCCATTGGGAGATAAAGGGCAGAAGAAGAAAAAAATATTCTCACCTTTCTTGTTTACAGAGCTTGATATACTTTTCGTTCGGTTTTATATCTTTCCTTGTTTACAGCAGTACTGGGATTTTTTATATTTTTCTGTTAACTTTTTTTTCTGAAACTTTTGCGATGTGCCAATTTTTTTAAACAAAAGATTTGGCTTCCAGAAATTTTGCTAAGACACTTGCAGCATCTGCAGGGTAAAATAATTTTAAACTTTTCCATAGTAAGCTTATAATAATAACTTCACCCCCAGAAATAATGTTTTCTTCTTTCATTTGCCAAAATAGTTTGTCACATTTGCAGTGTGATCTTGTCTTTATTTGGGGTGTTGCCTTTTCTTTCTGCGGTGTTGCCTTTTGTGTAAATATCACTGTTTTTTTTTGGGGGGGGGGGGGGGGTGTTTTTTAAAGTTCACTCAGTGATCATTATAACAGAAGAATTAGAACATGGTTGACTTTTCATTTTTGTTTTTCTCTGTTTTTTCACTCACTCATCTGCTAGCCTAAAGATCTTGGGTATGAATCCACATCGGGTCTGATTGTTTTTCAAAACTGGCTTTGGTTTCCAGGCCGACCCAGCTTAAAATGGGCACCAGGTAAAGTCCTGGGAGGTAAAGATGGTCGGCGTGATTTTGACTACATCACCCATCGAGTACCTGTTGATGTATGAAATTATGAATCTAGCATCATATGCCTGATACAGGGCTGTTTCGAAAAAGTGTTGTTTTCATTCTTCATAGTGGTCCTTGCGGCTGTTTCTGTTTCCAGTGTTGTGTCTCTGTTTGCCTCAGTGTGTGGGTGCAGTCTTGTGTTCTCTGGTGCACAAATCTACATGGGCACATAGCTGGTATTCCACTGTAAAATTTGCTTAGCATTAGGGAGAAAATCCATATTCTGTGGGCACATCTCGAGAGCAAGATGTATTGAGAACCTGTTGACAGCAGGAAACTTGGCAGAAATGAGAAGGTGGGGATAGACCAAGAGAAAATGTAGGACAGGGTGGCAGCCTTGACATGTAGAAACATAGATAATGATTAGCAGAGAAAAGGTTGTGGACAGACAGGGTAACGACAAAGCCATATTGTATCATCAACACTTGTCTCGCAGACGCGTGGGCAATCATGCCTCTCCACGATCTGCGATCTTCAGCAGCATGAATCAGTTTATGTGCTGACACCTCTTCGTGCCATGACAAAAGGCGGTTAAGAATCTTCTCGCATTGTCTTCCTCTGTCTCTGTTTCCACAGATCTTTCCAGCAGTCACAAGTTTCTCTCTTCTCATAATATGACCAAAATGTGATGGCCGTCTCTTTTTGATGTTTGTGATAAGTTGTCTTTGAGCTCCCACCTCTTTCAAAATATCTGGGTTGCTCATTTTGAATGTCCAGTGAATTCTAAGGACTCTTCTGTAAAACCACATATCTGAGGCCTCAAGAAATTGTTTGGCTTGATTATTAATTGTCCAAGATTCACAGCCATGTGTTAAAATTGGCTCAGAATAGCATGCAAGAATTCTTTTTCTAACTCCCAGAGACATCAAATGGCATGGATTGTGAAAAGATACTATCATATGCTTGTAAACATTGGGAGGCACAGCGGTGCAGTGGCTGGAAGCTCACCTGTCAGTTTAAAGGTTGTGGATTTAAATCCACATTAAGTCATCATTGCCCATCTAATACGGGTATCAGGAAAACTCTAGAAAAGGAAAGGTTGCACCCACTGAGTTATTGATTGGTCCAATAAAGAAAAGGGTTCTTTACTTTGCTTTTCACTTGTAAAGGTCATTGTTTCTCTGGCTTTTAATTTGCTGTGTGCGTGCTTGTTTTTCAGCTCTTCATTGTCAGCCGAATAACATTAAGGCAATGTATAGGAAAGCAGTTGCTTTAAAGGAATTAGGGCGTTACGATGAAGCATTTGCACAGGCCCAAAAAGGACAGCAGTTTGACACTAAGGTATGTCTTAATGTTGCATATGGGTAGATTATAAGATGTCTTGTTACACATGTGCCTATTGTTGTGTACCCAGATTGTCTTGTAACACATGCCTAACGTTGTGGGGTTTAATTATGAGATATCTTGTTACACATCATTTGCCTGGATCCTCGCCAGTGCTACAGAGCCTGTTCACTGTGCTGAGCTTCTTTGGACTCAGACTTGAGTTAGAAGAAGAACGGAGCACTTATGGGTTACACCCGTGTGCCATGATGTTGATCCGTTGTTACAGAACCTCAAACATCATCTGCCTAGGGTTGTTTTGTTAAATTGTATCTTGTTATAAATTTGCCTAAATGGTTAGATTGTAACATACGTTTTATGTTGTACGCTTTTCTAGTGTTTTGTGGTTAAATTGTGAGATAAGTCTTGTGTTGTACATTTTTATGTTCATTTTTTAAGCTGTGTTTTAGGGGTTAGTTTGCTGACTGACTGATGAAATGGTACCTGCTGGTATAATTCGTCAAGGCAGAGTGACCCGCAACCCTATTTTATAGAGACAAAGTGACCCAAACCTCTTTTTATAGAGATGAAGTGACCCACAACCCCATTTTATAGAAGCAAAATGACCCACAACCTCATTTTATAGAGGTAAAGTGACCCACAACCCTATTGTAATGCCAACCTCATGTCACTGTCAACAAGTAGACTTTCTTGTTTTTGTTTTCGATTGAAGAAGCCTGAAAACCTGGAAAGGACACTGCTGAGCATCAGATTCATAGAAGCAGAATTGTTTGATTTGTATCAACATACTTTTTATAATTTTTATAGCTGACTTCTGCCTGGTGACCGCACTGAAAACCCTTTAGTGCCCCAATGGGTGCCTGGCGACGATCCCCAGGGGTCTCCATAATCGTGAACCAAACTATGCAGCAGTGAAATGAACCCACGTCCTTCAGGGCATGAGGCAAAAGGTTTGACCACTTCACAACTGAGACCCTAAATCTCTGAAAGAACAGCTAATAGAAATAATTAGGGAGTTCCGGTTTAGAAATTGTGGACACATGATATTATTATTAAAATTCACACTTTATATGTATTTTTTCAAAGTGCCTTTATTTAAATTGTATTTTTTGGGTGTTTTGTTAATTGTGAAAACTAAGTATTCTGTGGTTTAGGGGTGTTAATGATAAAATTTGTCATATGACAGCCGTGGTGGCTGTCGTGTCGTAATAATGATAATGTAGCTGTTCTAAATATGGAAGACGCTCCCCTAGTTACCTTATAGTTTAGGGCAGAAGCTAGATATATATATATATATATATGCTTATAACATTAGATTTTAGAGGACCCGATTTTCCCTAATACTTTCCGCTAAAAACCGGATAGGGCTAGTTACATTCAACTCATGGATTAATAGTTTGGCAACCAATCACAGTGCTCGGTCCGACCAATCAAATAGAACGTACCAGATGGCGCTTCATCTTTTTGGCGCATGCGCATGACTGGCGTCACGTGGGTCGTCCATTTTGAGCGGAAGCCGCCATGTTTCGGTCATTGCAGTTCCAAACGTGGTCGAGTGATGATCGTTAGTTTTTCAAGTGCAGTATCCAGATTAGCGAGTGTAGTTCTATATTAATTCGTTCTGGATTACTGTAGTGATTTCTGACCGATCTGAGGGGGTAAGTTGGCACTCTTTTTCTAATTGTGAAACTTCTGTAAGTGTACCCTTAATTTCTATTAATGTAGCAGTATATTAAAATTGTTATCCCTGAATTTGCTGGCTGGAGTTCGGGAGTTGACCGATATAAAAATATATATGGCCACGTGCGTTTAACCTTACCTTTACAAGTTAGTACTGAAGCTAATATTTAAATGCGGTGTACTTTGTAAACCATCGTAACTGAATTATATTAATATTTAATTCAGTTAATAAATTCTGAAGAGCCCAGAGAACCAGCAAATTCGGGAAACCACGTGTTCCCTTTTTGCACACGCTTATCAGGGCTTTTACTATCTTCCCCCAGCCCTGCGGCATTTTTCATAACACCAAGGACTCAACGATTAGTACACAATTGTACCCATTGTCATGTCGCCATAGAATCGGCACAGACAAAGAGACAGTTTAAGGGATTTAATCCCAGTATTCATAACCGACTACTAGTCGTAATTGTAACCGACCACGTGTCGAATTTTCTAAACGACCACGTGTCGTATCTGAACTTTAAGAACATCAGCGGTGGATTATCTACAAGAGGATATCACAAGAAATAAGATCTACAAGAAGCCAAGTGTTCCGGTTTCCCCATCAAGTCCAGCCTTTGGGAGTATCCACGGGTGAGCTGTACTCGTGCGGGGAAGGAACTGGACCCAGTAGACATTTCTCTTATGATGATAACCATTTGGTTTAAAATCAAACACCAAACCACTGTCAATTTTTAGCCAGTCAGCTGTCAGTAAAATTAAAGCGACATCATTCTTCATTCACTACTACTATTCTCGTCTGTCTTTGTTGCTGTGCGTGAGTAATAGTTGAGTGAGCGAGAAAGGGGCATTCTTCGCTTTCTTTCTCTGGGGGCTCTTTCTTTAAAAGTGGCAGAGGAGTTGCCACCAGGATAACTAGTCTGCCTAGCACCACCCATCGGAGCGGGGTAGCCTTATCTTCCTGTCCTCTGTCCCAGGAGCAATATCTCGGTCTCTCTACCCTTGTAGACAATGAAGTACCATACTTCTAGTGAGCCACACTTATAGACTGAAGATACCTCCTGTATAGGAACCCTACCCTTCCTAGGGCCCTCCTATAGTTGTGACAACTGGTACGCTCGTCCGGGATTTTACCAGAGACTATTTCCTAGTAGTCTATAGCTTTATAGGTACTGCACAACTGTTTAATAAGACTGAGCTAAAAATTGATGGTTTAAAATGTTTGTGTAAAATGATTCAAAATTTTAAGTAGTTCAGTTCCAGACCTGGTGTTTTGTTACATACTGTTGTTGTTACGTTACGTATCTGTTGTGACGTGTATAATACATACAGTACTATTTGGTGTTCTACTATAACTGTCAATCATAACTGCTAAGTGATTCTGTTGCGTTGATCTGGTTTTTCTGTCTACTCTGCCTACTAAACAACTTACCCTTCAGGTCATTGATAGAAGCCACTACCTATAGTCATGCCTTTCAAAAGACCAACTATGGCTGAGATAAGGGAAATAGGAATAGAGCTGGGGCACGAGGGTGAAGAGTTAAAAAGGTACATGCAAGATGTAGATAGAGAATACCGGGTGGATGAAAGAGAGTATGGTAAGGCTGAAGCAGAGGCTAAGGAAAGAGCCTTAATTCGAGAAGAAGAAAAGGCAGAGAAAGAAAGGGAAAGGGTAGAGAGAGATAAAGAAAGGCAACATGAAATTAGACTTCGTGAACAGGCCCCAATACCCTCCTCACCGATTCCCAACTATTCTTTACCTAGCCCTGAGGGTTCATCTCAGAATAATCTTGTGGGGGCCCTGAACTTCCCCTTGATGCACTTCGATGAAAAAGCAGATAAAATAGACACCTACTTAGAGAAATTCCAAAAGATGGCTGAGAACTACGGGCTGGAAAAAGAGAAATGGAACTTTAAGGTTTCTCAGGGGCTTCGAGGAGTTGCTTATGATGTTTACAACCAGCTACCTCGGGGTCAGGAAAATGACTTTGAGGCATTAAAGCAGGCACTTCTCAAAAGATATGAGCTTACCTCCGGAGCATATAGGCATAAGTTTCGAACAGCCCAACGGCAAGCGGGTGAATCGTTTAGCCAACTGCTGAGTAGACTCCAAAGCTATCTTTCAAAATGGATGACTTTAGGGGGTCATGATCACTCATACGATGGGTTGGAAGAAATGGTGCTGGCTGAGCAACTGAGGGAGTGTATGTCGAAACCTATGCAGACTTTCTTAACAGAGAATGGGGCTGAACGCTTAGACGACATGATTACTCTTGCAGAACGCTATCATGCAGCCCATGGGGAAGTATCTTTTAAGCCCAAACCCCAACCCACCTTTGAAAAACCTCCGGTGAAAACACCCGTACAACCTTATAAAAATGCCGCAAAGGGGCCCAAACCCCAACATAATCAAAATCAAAAACCCCAGCCGCAACTAGCGTCGGGGTGGAGAAATCCATACTGCAAATATTGCAAGGTTAATACCCACTACACGGCCGAATGCCCGAAAAAACCTGCCCCTCAGTACGCGGCATGTGTGGCAGCTGAAAAGCCTCCTAGTGTACTCTTCCCTACTACGAGGAGACCACCCGTGGTGGAAGTGATCTCAGTCAACCGACAGAGAGTCGATTGTCTCTATGATACCGGCCTCCAGTATGACAGTTTAATTGCATCATATCTGGTGGTAGAACCTGGCCAGCTAACTGGAGACACTATTAAAGTCAGCGGGGCTACCAAGAGTTCCCCCACTATGACTTTGCCTATAGCTTTAGTTGAAGTGGAGTCCAAGTATGTTACTGGGACTGTATCCGCTGCTGTGGTAGATGATCCGATTTATCCTTTTATCCTAGGGTGTCGGTATGTTTATTTAAGTGAACCATCTACTCCCATAGCTCTCGCGGCTGTACAGACCAGGTCTCAGGCTAAAGATAGCCTAGAGCCTGTTCAACCTTTAAACCCCCTTCCGGGTGAAATAAGGGCTGCCCAAAAACAGGACCACACTCTTCAACCTTGCTACGGAAAGTTGCCCAAAGCCCAAACCCCTCCTAGTAAGGGAAACTTTTATGTCAAAAGTAATTTGCTGTACCGTAGGGCAGGAAAAGATGGAGACGAGTTTTGGTCAACTTGTTGTACCTTCCCCCTACCGGACGCAAATCTTGCACATGGGACATACTATCCCATTCTCTGGACATATGGGGATTGGGGCTACACAGCAACGTATCGCCTGCCATTATTACTGGCCGGGGATGAATGGGGACATTAAGCGGTATGTAAAGTCATGTCCAGAATGCCAAAGGGTAGCTCCCAGGCATTGGACA